CATTATCATTTAAAAAAATTCCGATATATATATATATATATTTCATAATGAAAAATAATTTTTATGAAATTTCAATATTTTAAAATTTTTTTAACACGATTTATTAGATAAATATATTGATCTACGAATAGATTATTCACTTCATATTGCCCTTCATCTGAAAACAACCTATGATTTACAATTCCAAAAACAAAATGTCAAAATACAATGATAATGAATATCTAAACAGTATTGATTCATTTCATATAAAATTTAGGTTGAATACTCATATAATATTTATATAATATGAATTTTTTTATATTAGATGTATCTTATATTTATTTAATCAAAAAAATCCAAGAATATTCTACTATATGTATTAAATGATTATGAAAAATAGCTATTAAAAATTTTTACATATTTGAAGTGATCATATCAATATAATGCATTGAAAAAATATATTAGTTGACTTTACTTTGAAAAAACAAAGAATTTAAGTTTAATATTTCAATAACTATATTTTTTGATTAAAATTCATTCAATCTAATTTTTGAATTACAAAAACCGATAATCTAACATAAATTGTAAACTCAAAAATTGTCATAGACTTTTGCTTATCAAATATACATTTTTTTTTCACAAGAGTCTAAATTTGATTATAGTATGATTTACAGAACTTATCAAAAGTTGCTCAACGCTTTTCATCTTATAATAATGTACAATTTTATTCAAATATAGTTTACATCTTCATATGCATAGTTTTGTTTGGATAACATCTTTCAATACTATCATCATTTCTTGAAAAATATATCTTGATGTTGTACTTTAGCTATATTTTGTTTAGCTCGTTAATCATACGTTGTGTTTTAAAAAAGAGCAATATGAAGTAAATAATTTATTCATAAATCTATATATTTATCTAAAAAAATCATGTAAAAATTAAAATTGAAAATAGGAATTTTTTAATAATTATTATGAATGAAAAATAAAAATTGAAATTTTAAAATGTAATAATATTCATATTTTTTATTTCCAAAAAAATCGAAATAATATCACAATAATTTGGATATCAAATTTTTTGAAAAATTTTATGGCTAGTTAAAAAAATTTCGATTTCTCAATAAAAAACTGATCAATGAAAGAATTTCTTCTATCATAATTTGTACTGAGCTTAGAATGATAAATTCTACATAGGGATTTTTTACTTTAATTTAAATTCATAACTCCATCAAAAATTTTATATTGTGTTTGATATAAGTTGTGAGTTTTCCCAGGCTTGATCCATCTCCCAGTTATCAGTATATGGTGTTATATTCATAACTAGTGGTTATCAGTAGAAATAATGAGCGGATACGTTTTGTTGACAAATATCTCATGTTGGTGTATGCTTTTGACACAAATTGAATACTTGTCCACTGGCAAACTGAATGACTTTGATTTCATACTGGAATTCGTCCATACTTCTCTTTGTGATCATTAACATTTACTCTGGAGGTTTTAAAAATTATATATCATCTTCATTTACAGTCAGCACGCATTGTCTTGATTTACCATGTAAATGAAGATCGCGCTAAATCTCTATATTATTATTGACCTTAAGATTAAAAACATCCATAATTTTCAAAAAATGCACAATCTTCTTTCAACCCTAACTATTCTCATTTCTTCTTTAATTGAATCTTTCCAAAACACAGATACACAGATACAATCCTTCAAACATATTCATTGTTGTTAAATTTTATTTTATTTTCATTCACATGATAGTCACACGACTTCATAACAAATTTCTGTCATATTCTCAAACGCAGGCTTAACATATGCAAGCCTGAGAGCATGAGGTTTTGGCACTTAGATGGATTTTGGGTGTCTACTTCATCACTTCTATCTCAACCAAAACAAATTTTGACATAAAAACAAAAGTATTTCTCTTAAGGTGGTGACTATTGTATCACAGTCTTCCATACAAGACATAACTTTGTCGCCTTCACAAATACTCAAGTATAAAAGTGAAAAGTACAATGCATACATAAATAAGCACGACGTTAGAATTGTCCTTACAGAGAGTATTGTATCGACCATGATAACTAAAAGATTTCTAAGCTAGTTTATACTGTCTTATCAGCATCACTCCTGTATTGGTTGTGTTACATAACCAATATGTAACATATATCTTGTTCATACATAACTAATGTATGAACACGATGGTCCGAATGGGATGAATAAACAAGTCCTACTAGCTTCGAGCTTAACAAACTACCAACATTACAACTTACCAAACCATATGTACAGGTGCGACAATATGCCATCTGGTGGGTTCTGGACAAATTCCACGACAGTTTTCCTGTGGTTAGAAAGCTCATAATGTTGATAACTCTATGATTAGAACTATATACTATAATAATGACTTTAATCCTAAATTACACCAATCATAAAATAAAATGGATTACATTTGTGTAAAAACAATGTTCAAATGATATACTTTCATTATTTTCATGAGGTTTATGTAATATCTTTTGATTTATAGTTGGGATTGAACAATCCAAAGCAATTGAGCATTGTATATGTTTTTGAAAGTTTATTCATTTATATTGATTTTATAAGTTAGAGATTACACTATGCTATACTATATGAATCAAACTTGGACGTTGCATGAAAGATTCATAAACAATAATGAGATTTCTAATAGAAGATTACTATAATTTAAAAACTTATGAAAAATTTGAATTTTTTTCACCAAGATTGGATAAATCGTCATATTACTAATATATATATATATATATATATATATATATATTCATATTCATACATATACATATACATATATCCTACAACAACAAACGATGCTCAACGGCTTGATTATACATATAGAAAGAAACAAACAAGTATATTCTGTATGCATCAGTATCATATTGAATCCAACTCTTTGTGATCTACATCATCAATTTAACTGGCATTATGTGTTTTTCAACTTTATCATCACGGTGGACTTTAATGAATGATTTATGCTAAATTCAAGTATTATTTGATGTTATGATGTTGAGTGAAATACACTTATGGACGTTTGAATGAGAGCTATGAGAGTCGTCAAGCTATTAACTAGAGGGTGCCACACAGTACAAATATAGCCTTATGCTAGGTACTAACTAATGTAACAAGTATGACACAAACAACTGATGATCTACTTACGGTTTTGGGAGGGACACAAAATCGTCCTTTGGATAAATATCATTTTACATCTACATTTCTCTTATAGTTTTACGTAGTGCACCGCTGGCTACCTTGCGCACTAATCATATGGAGTTCACATTGCAATTTCAAGTGGATCATGTAATGGATGTTTATGGCCAAAGAGAGTTCTGGTGCTAGCGTCTAGGAACCTAGTGATGTATGACTGGTGGTTGCGTATTATTGTTTGCATTCGATATTGTTCGACATTGATTGTTGGAAGTGGACAGGTTTATTGGTAAGGTTGACAATATGGTGATGGTGGAGTGAGCGAATTACCATTGCGCTATATTCTGAGTTCTAGACTTCACAGCTTTGTCACGTTTTGAGTCGTTCAGTGAAGCGGAATAAAACCCCAGAATACTAAACATTCTTTGAACAAATAAGTTGTAAAAATCAAATATATGTCTCATCATTTCAAACAATCATTACGTTACATTTAACTCGAAGACAAAAAACTGAGAATGCTAGTGTACCGGTAGGTACTGTAATACAGACCATCTTCGACGATCAGTTCACGACATGGTGTTCTCTTGTGTCGATCATGACACACTGGAGTTGCAGCGAAAAACGAATAGCCCTCCAGTGACATGTGAGTGAACTTTTCTGGAATAGAAGACTTATAGAATCAGAGTATTTCTAGTAATTCAGAACGACGAGAGAGTGTAGTCTGAACCTGTCTGACTGGTGCGTACAATTACTCGAGTTTGGTGGTGATGCATTGCATTGCATTTAGTCGAATTTTCTGAACTTTTCCATCTTCCGGTTCAGTGACAGTTCAGTTTACATCACCCGTTTATTAAATTCGGAATTTCGTTGGACGCGAAGGAAGTGCTCGGTGTGTCTTGTGGGTACAAGTCCCATCGAACGTCCAATCAGGGACTTCGAGAGCAGGTCAAGAATCGGCGTGCCACTTCTTCAAACTAATGTGAGGCTAAAAATTCACTTCGGGCAAAATTCAGCCCATTCCCGAAGTTCTGAAGACCAAGGTGGTACGAAATCAGATGAATCCGTTGAACTGTCTTCATGCCAACTACAGCAAGGCATGACAGCACCACGTAGCATCAGATTTTTACTCTAACCACTCATATCATATCCATGGTTCAAGCGCCAAGTGTTGGACGATTTGTTATCAGTCGATCTTTCCTGGCGATGACGAGCACAAGGATGCGCTGTCTCCATCCGACTCTCGCTCAATGGAGTCATAGTGTACAAACAGAAAGGCGTGAGTGATATCGAAAATCTTCAGATGGAGTGATTTAATGTATTCCAACACAGGGCAAAAAACATGGGGAACATTCTATTGACGGACAGTACAGAGAACGAGTGTAACTTTAACTAATGATGACCCAAGACTAATACAATCTGTTTTATCTGTGTATTTCTTGTATTCTATATTTATTTATTTTAATTGAAATGTTCACACCTACGTAGTCATATAAAGCTAACCCATATATAATTTTAAAATTCCATTATCTATGATAATTTGATCACATGTTAGAGGGTATTCCTCTATATTGTATTTCAGATCCTAAAGAATCTTAATCATATTAGCCAAATAGACCTCATGTCGTTCTTCTATGTGTATAGTTATCAAAATAACCAAACAATCCACATAAATTGGTCCATAAATAGCAGTAATTGCAAAATTATCAGGTCTGTAAACCATGTTCATTTGATCTTACATGATGAGTTCAGAGTTTGTCCTACTCCCATGGATCATGGGAATAGGATTAAGTGATAGCAGATGCATTTGGAACGGTCAAAACACAATTGACTCACAGACGATTGGTGGTGAGAGGCGGTGGACATGCGTTTGGCGCTACACTGATCGTGCAGGAAGCTTTGTGTGATGAGGCCGGCCGAATCATCTGGTGCCGGATGTTGCCAGTGATACTCTCACTGTAAAGAATCTCGACTCTTCGACTGCGTATTCTTTGAGATTCGTGCAGGGATGTGACCTCCGGCTGGAATGATTGATTTGGTGAAGACAAGATGAAAACAAGATGGATCATTCAGAAATAACAGGTGAACAAGACCCATTCCACCACAGCAGGCATACTAATCAGTCAAGATGTATGTTCTTCAGTGAAGTTCCCAGGAAAATAAACCTAAACTTATGAACGACCATTCCTCTTTCACAGACTCATCCAATCAATCCAGCCAAGAACCAATTTCTGCTCGTAGAACCAGGAAATATTATCCCGGTATGTCCAATGCTTTCTTCCTTGCAGAGCCCGTACATCAAGCAGTGTCTTATTGAACTCAAAAGGAGATCAATCCGAAGCAAATGAGCACATCTATTAGACTCCAAGTGAGATAAGCCGAGCTGCCCTCCACTCAATTGCGAAGACGAGATGGATTGAGGGTGTGATTAACTTCTCGAGATTTGATCTCGAGATTTGATATCCTCGGCTCAGCATCAAAGAGTAAAAGACTCGATGAGAGACTTTAAGGACGACAATCATTGACTATTTCACAGTAAAGAGCCCAGAGTGAAGAATATGCCGAACGGGAAGTCGCACTTAAAACACAAAGCTTGTGCCTGACTAAACTGGCTCTTCAACTTGATCCAACGATACATGCACACCAGAGAGGATCCATAAGAAGTAGACCAGTGGTGCTAACTGTATAAAGGGGATGTGCACTCGGCTCTGTTTCTGGACGGCTGCTGAGTTCGCTAGAAATTCTGCAAGAATACACAACGACCGGTGCACGTAGATGCGACAAGCACATTGACACTCAGATTTCTCTCGCTTTATGATGATGGTTGGAGTGATCAATATTATAGAGAACATTGAGATGGCAGCCCAAGGACGAAGCTGCGGAGTTTTACTAGTACGTTTGATTGAGTCCCACCAAATGCTTTTCGTGGCACTTTGGAACTCCTTTACAAAATTGATGCTTACATCGGATTCGTTCCTGCGACATCGAAATTGGAGACACTTCACATTCTCTTTTGGATGGGGCACTTATTGTTAAGGCCGAAGGTTTATCGGGAAAGAAAAGGCCGAAGTTCAGTTTTGCCGACCAGTCCCTACAGGAGGAACCAACTCCTCATACTTTCACTTGCGAGGTCCTAGAAGACAGCATCGAAAAGCGATGAGCATGAGACTTGGTATGACAGTTTAAGAGCACATCTAAGGTTGGCAAACGAACTGAAAGCCTACATTAGAGCTCTTCAGTCTCTCACTTCAGAGGAGCGCTGGGGATATCTACTGAGGAGAACGATTCTGTCACCCGCTAGAGTGTAGGTGCAGGGTCTGTTGACATGCGTTTGGTCCTCTTGATTGAAATTAACCGGTTTCAAGCCTTGGATGTCTTCAAATTTGTTCAGTGACAACAGTGCGCTGCGTTGCACAGCAGTTACTCTTATGCTTTGTAAGAGACAGATGCATGGCAGCTGACATTTGACAAAGTCCTGACGTTCCCAGATGCACGACCCGCTGGCTGAAGCAGATTCGAACTACTTGCAGATCAGAATCGATGTCCGCAGCCAGCTCAGTACCTCCAGGCTCACCAGAAGCCATGAATGTAGTCAGCTTGGAGTGGCCTATCTTGGTAAATTTTCTTCATACGGGCCGCTTGCAAGCCAAACACAGTGTGCATCTGCGGTGTTTAGAGGGCAAGCAGAGCGTCGCAGCGTAGTCAGGTGCAGGGCGTGACGCTGAAGAACTGTGATGCAGCCACGCACCTGGACGTTCGGTTGGCACCAGCAAATAGCACTATTATTCTCTTAGTAATAAATGGTCACAGGAGGAATGGAGATGCCAGACTCGCTGAGAAAAGGTATGCTCCTATTGTGTACGAGGTCGTCATAAAAGATATACTCCGCTTCGTAGTCATGCAGAGCGAGTTCCCGCCTCTGATCTGTGTGATAATGGTGCTTCAGCAAGGGATGCTTTCCAAAGCCGAACATGCTCACTCTATCGCAGATTCCCAGGGCGACCACAACGGCCTGAAAGCCCGAAGAATAGTGGAAGTAGAAGCTGTGATGTGCACTGTCCCAATTTTCAACTGGCAGCCCGCTAGTTTCCACGAAGTTTTTGACAGAGTACCATTTGACAATTCGAGCACAGAGACTGTCCAAACGGCCATCCGTGACGACCAGCGGTGCTTTGTGGACATCGCCGCACAATGCTACGTCCATCAGATGAGGAGCCTGACAGATGTAGAGAATGATGGGCACATCCTCTCCGTATGGATGACAAGCACAATCGGGTCTCCTGGAACACATCCGAAGAATATTGCTGTTCATAAAAGCAAGCGTGGTTTTGGAGCCCACATGCTTCTGGAACCCCTGAGTTTTGGCATTGTTCAAGCGAATCACCATTTCATGGCTGTCAATGAGCGCTCCATAACTGCTATTCAGCAGTATCCCGCTATTCCCCACGACTGCACAACTTCTATACCTGGATGGCGCGCTGAGAGAACCCTCAACCTCATGGACACTAGGCGCAGGAGTGTGCAAGTACGCATCTCTCGAACGGCGATCCATCGGCTCCTTCACAGTCCTCACGAGATCTTGCATCACTCGAGGATCGAAATCACCTTCTGCCAGCCAATTCCTGGCCATCTTGTAGAATGTTACGACGTAGGGATCAAATCTCCGACTTGTAAGGGGCACCATCCACGCATTCTCGGTTTGCCTTCGTCTGACAGCAGAATTCCTGTCCATGCCGATGGCGAATTGTTGTGGAGGCGGTCTCTTTAGAAAGAGCACTTCTTTTATGCTATACCTACCGCCTTCGCTTCTCTCTAGCAAGCCCTTCATTTTGAGCCGCTCGGCAGCGTCCGCCACATTGATCAATGAGTAATTTAACAGCTTTTCTTTCGATACTGTAGAGCGTATAATCACCGTTTCCGCAAGGTACGTTGTCAGGAGCCTATGGGAGACGACGAAACTCATAATTATCGTAAGCAGCAAGGAAGCCGAAAGACAATGACGGTTTCGAAGTGGAGGCATGGCTACTCCGGCTCCTCCTCCTCCTCCTCCGGCTCCCACAATCCCTTGCTGCTGTACTGGCTTTCCTCTCGCGGCAAACCCCATATTAGCTGGCATGACTCCAAATATTTCTGCTTCAAATTCTCCTCCTCAAGCTCTGCGTCTAGTTTTCGACCGAAGAACGGCGGCTGCTGACCAATTCACCGGTTCGAGATCTGTGATGTATCCCGCAAAGCACAAGGCTTCCTCCGCCTCGATTTTACCTCTAAGTTTTCATCTAGAGACTCGAAGTTCGATGCCTCACCCGATCGATGTGATCTGGGGTGAAGTCTCCCTCATTGCATCTCACCCGAAGAACTTCGGTGCCAAGCCGCAGGCTGCTCACGGACGTTCACCTTTAAGATCCGCTGTGGCCGCCCCGAGCCCACCTACGGAGCGACTGAGCCCGCACTGAAGTCAATTGCTTCGTCGAATGAGTCCCGACAGCTGCAACTCAAAGGCGAAGAAAATGGCTAGATCCGGGAAAACTCCAGACGAGACGAAGTCGGCACTCCTAGCAAACACGTACGTGAGAAGTCGCATCCCGCCACGAGACCGATCTACGAGGCTCATGCAGCGAACGTCGTCGAGCACAGGGACGCAAATCGGAGCAGGTCGAGTCCCGGAGAGACGAAAAATAATACTAACAATCCGCGATCACACACACACTCCTAGAACACTGTCCGGGCAAATGACATCGTCGCGAGGCAGGCAGGCGGGCAGGCAGGCAGGCACTCCACAGAAGCGATCAATCCCACCGAGGCGCAGAATCTCGACACCACCAGCCTGAGCCCGTGCGTCTGCAGACTCTACCCCGCCAACTCTCGTCGTCCTCCGCCCGCATTACAAGAGCCTCCAACGACGGTCCACGAACTATAATCCTGCAGCAAAATCGAGTCTGCGATTTCTTCTGCTTCGTCGTCGTCCGCGTCTTCGGCGTCGTCGTCCTCTGGGCCTGGACCATCATTCCCATCTTTACAAATGCTGCTGCAAGACACGAGCCCGAGGGCCCCGCGCACGACGGCGAGCACCACCATCGCCACCTTCGGACTCAGATCCGTCTTATGCTCCTGGCTCCGCGGGACACCACAACACGAGAGCGAAAGCGAGAGAAAGAACGAGTGTATGCACCGCGTGCAGGCGCGCCCCGCCCGTCCGTCGCCGCCTCTCCTCGGCTTACAAGAACAGGCGCGTCACAGGCGCGCTGCGGCAGCGTCGCCACTATACGCGTGTATGTATAGTTGTGGTATTATACCATGAGTATGTCTAGAGACGGGCTGGGCTCTGTTTTGGCTGGATTTTAAATCTTAACATGCGATCTAAAATCTGATTTAAAATCTAGGTGTTTCCGAGTAAAAACGAGCCCGCGGTACGTTTTTATCTTTTCCTCATAACATCGTATTATACAGCACTCCCATCCCATTCCTTGTATAATAAAAATTCTTTTGCCGAGTCCACACAAGTGTTGCTGGCTTGCTACAAGAGTAAGATTTCAGATTTGTAAAAGATTATTTGGAAGAAGTTCGAAGCTTGATAGCGGATATGAGCTTGAAGAATATCCCTGGTGGTGGTACTAGTGATGAATTTTATGGTGTTGACATTTTCGAGAGTATAAAGACATGAGGAGTATATCTCCGAGGCTGAGGAGGTGATGGACCAGGGTAACATCTATTAATGAAGACATAAGGGGTTAGGCACTAACCTCTTTAAATTCGAAAACGGCCCCTTAAATGCCGAAACTGCCAAATTTAACGGTGCCGAGTACGCTGAAAATAAAACCTCGAAAATGAGTGAGTGTAGAGTTTATGTTGTAAAGTGTAAACGGGCTTTGGCTAAGTTGAACGTGGACACATGTCACTTCGCCAGGATGGTGATGTCTGTCAACAAGGTGCTCGCGGCACATCGTTTCAAGCAAAGCATGAAGTTGAGTATGGCCTAAAGGTGGTGTCTCGGGATGCAAACGGTGTCGTTGACAATGTACAGTGCCAATTCTGCCGTTTCCATGGCCGGGAGCAGGTTTCTAGTGCCAAACGCAAGCTTACCCATAACATCAAACTCTTTGCACCACCTTACCGAACAGACAACTATCAAGTCCATCACAAAGAGTCCCACTTGGGTAAGTAGATCTGTTACAAGGCAATCTCGTTCGAGGACAAGAGAGTGTTCTTCAACAAGCGACGGAGTTCAAGGACACTTTGTTCTCCTTATTCAACGACGCGAGCTCCACACTGATATTTAACATAAGTGCGGAGATTGTCAAAATTCTGATTGGCGAGCTGTTCTTCAACTCCGAGGACGAAACGATCTTGGCCCAAACAGCGTTGAAGCTGTTTCGGCATCAGGAGGACGGCAGCTTCAACGTCACGATCAAGACGCTGCTTAGATATGATCTCATGATTCAGCACACGTCAGCCGAACTGTTGTTCAGGCAAACCGCCAGCATCATTCAACAACATCAAAAGCTCACCAAGCACACAAAATTGGCATGAGTGACCGATGCTTTGGTCAGCAACTACGTCAGTATTCTCGTTGTGGTTGCCATGCAGCATCTCAGCAATCTGATGGAAAATCGATGTGGGCCTTCTTGTTTGCCTGCGACACAAGCACTCACATGGGTATTTCGTTCATGGATCAACGTATGTGTCTGGAAGTGGATGGCATCCTCGTCAACTTGCATTTGATGGCCATTCCTATGTTCGACCGGCACACCGTTGTTAACCAGGTCAATCTAATCACAAAGGTCATGGACATTATCAATTCCGGATGGCGCGATAAGCTGATCGGACTCTCTTCAGATGGCGAGATTACCATGGCAGGCTATCGCGGTGGAATCATCACTTTGCTCGAGCAACAAGCAACAAATGATGTCCTGCGCGTCTGGTGTTTTGCGCACTAGATGGATCTCGTCATGCATGCGGGGTTCGCCAGGATTGACGATGGGCAATTTGTCAAGGGAACGAATCGATGGGATGTGCACCTGCGCTGTCAAGCGAATCTGATCAACGAAATTGGCTCGGTGTGTCCGAAGCTGACCAATTGCTAGCTGCACATGAGCTCGATTGGATGCTGCCGAGCACTTGCGTCTGCTGACGCACATTGAGGAGAAATAAGCATGTTGATGCACATACAGAGATGTAGTATATCGAAGTAGCGGCTATTGCGGCAATGACGACCATGGTGAATGCGACGCTTACGAAGATTCAAGCAAAGGACATGATCATCTCGCAGCAGCGTAGTGAGATTGAACAAATGGTATGTCGGCTGTGCACCCTTGTCTCCGCCAAGCTGTTGTTTGATGACCTCAATCTTGTCGGTGCGAATGATGTTTGATCTCTGCGTTGGTGGCTTCCGGCGGACGCCCTGATCAACTTCATCGAGGATCAGGGATCATTCATCCGCGACCAACTCGGTAATCTCAGTTTGGGCGACAAGCCAAAAATCTGCGAGAAATTGGCGAATTCATCCTCCATATCCTTGAGGTTATGTGCGATGTCCAAGGAGAACGTGATAGCAAGAACCAGGCTGCCGCTTCACTTGCTCTTGCGGTCATGCCGGCTGAGCTGATCAAGATGCCAGCACGTATATTTGTTGCCGAGATGCTCGATCCACGCCGAGTGCATATAGCAAATTTTTGGTATGCGAAGCAGATCGAGAGCGATCACCGCTCACTGTGCCGAGAGTACGTTGTAAACGAACGTGTCAAGACCAAGATTGACCAACATGATCACAAGACTATGTTTGACCAACATGATCACAAGACTATGTTTAACATTGGCTTGAATGACATCCAGGGCTGCGTAACAAATGGTTCGTTCCGTTTTTCAAGACAGTTCTGCTGCGGACTTGCCACCGTTTTTGCCAACACAACGTCGGTGGAGTCGGATTTTTCCATATTGAAGTGGGAGAAGTACGATCGGCGGACGGATTTGACTTGTCTGGCACTGGAGGGGTATTCCAGGCGAAACATTTCGACCTACTGACGCGTCTGTAGGAATAAAACAATGGCATTTGGTAAACTTTGGCCAGTGCCGAATTGAAGATCAGGTGCCGTGCCGAAATTAGCTTATTCTTGGTAGATTCGGCGTTCGCCGATTTTACTGAGGTCTCTCTATACTAATACTGGACTGCGAAGTATATTACCAAATGTATTATATACCATTCAAAGATCCACTTCATTTGTAAAGGTTACACTCGTTCATCACCTCTTTGCCCTTGAAGACATACTCGTCATGCATGGAGTCCACGAACGCGATCAAATTCATCAAGGTTACTACTACCAGCAGAGATGCTGCAGCCATTTACAGAACTCGTTACAGCGACTTGACCACAGAGGTGTTTGAAATTGAACAACCTTCAAATTTAACAAACTCATAAATTCTTCCAAATAACACTATTTTAGTTTCCAATTTCAAGTAAAGCTTATAACAAATCTGAAATTTTACACTTTTAGCAACACATTTGCTGATTCATATGTACTGTTTACTATACAATTATACAAAGTATGGTTTGGGAGCTCTGCATAATTTTACCTGTATAGTACCAGAATTATACATACATATCTATAGTCCGGCCTCTTTTTCAAATCGAAATTTGACTACGGAGCGCGCGACCAACGTTCGAAGAGCGAACGGCTGCCCGCGTCGCCCCCGTCGCCACCCGTTACAAGAGCGTCCGACCTCTTCTTCAAATCGAGGTTTGACTGCGGAGCGCGCGACCCACGTTTGAAGAGCGAACGGCTGCCCGCGTCGCCTCCTTCCTACCGTGCCCCTCCCGTATAAGAACTCTAATTATACAAGAACATTATGAGAACATGACGTCGCGGCTATCGTCTTATATGAGTCGCTCGCCCTCGAATCGATTGGTGTCGAGGAGGATGTCCGAGAGAGCTCGAGAGCGATGGCGGATTTGGGTTTGTCGTGAAGCCGGGACGTCGTCGTGCGTGAATTCTTCTACGTGGGCTCATTTGGTGCAGGGTTCAGTGGACTTCGTCTGGGGGATGGGGATCGGGAGTTCGGGTAGCGAGAGGGCGAGAGATGAATGTTTTCGAATGGCGCCCTTTTCGGTCGCTGACTTATTTGGTGAAGATCTGGTGATGCCGGTGCAGCTGCTGCTGCTGTTGCGATCTTGCACTAGTTGCGCAAGTTTGCGTTGGTCAATCGGAGAGATCAGGAAGGCATCGAGGATGGATGCGGGCCAGATCTTGTGATTTTGGTGAACATGGTGATTGTGTCTTCTGAGGGTGGCATCTTCTGCAGTTCCTCCCTCGGGGGTGTATGTTCGGTATGAAGTTAGTCGTCAGGGTCAGAAGTTTGACCTCATTCTTCGGGGAATAGACTTCGAATCTCCGCCATTTTTAGCTCACGCTCCGAGTATTTCTGCCACTACCGCGCGCTTGTAAAGTTTCTGAATCTGAATCTGGAATCTGATCGACATTCTCACTGTAACACTTCCGATTCTCATTATCTTTGTTGCTTCGACTTAGGTAGGGCTACACACTTTACAGGCAAAATTGCGCGCGAAATAAGTGATTACGGGAATACCAAGATACTCTTTTCAAGTTGACGATGTCTCCTTTAAAATATGAAAAAAATTCGAGCTCCCAGCTCACCGAGGATTCGGTCACAGACTCCACAGTCGTTCTTCCGATGGATGACTGACCTTCTGTATGCCTGCGGGAGATCATAGGAACTTCATCACCAGCGTCATCGTCCAGATGAGGAAACAAATGGACAGGACAGAATGGTGGGTAGAGCTCCCCGGCGTGGAATGCAAGGTACTGGCAGTTCGTTTATTCCTAAACGTTTCTGACACTTCAGGTGCAACCTTCAGACAGAACATGCCAAGAAGATTAAAGATGGGACGAATCCCTCACCGTGGAGTGAAATACAAGGCCAACGAAAGACAGGAAAGATTCTAAGAAAGGAAGGATCGAATTGACTGGCTGTAAGCGTCAAGGAATCCTTTGCCCCTCGACTTAAGGTTACATCAAGGGATACATCGGCATTCGAAAATTATGAGATTGGAAGATGCAACAAACACGTGGACTGTAAAGTGACGTATAGTATCGTACTTGATGGACAGCAAATATAAACGCAGTTCAAGCAGTAACGTCTGCTCGTGAAGATGAATTGCCTTTCCACTTCATCAAACTCCGAGTGGTCGATCGTCTGTGGTCTTTCCTCGATGGAGAATTTCTGAAATCGCTCTGCGGTCTTTCCTGGACAGCAACTTTGTGAACACGGTGGCGTTTCTTGCTCGAAGCCGTGGAAGGGCGTGTCAAAGGGGGCATCTGGCACAGCGTTACTGAATCACGTTCTTCATCGCAGTCGGATTACGCGTTTGAATTTCTGTCTTCTTCGATACCTTCTCCCATTCTGATCCAGACATTGGCCTTTGTTAAAATAAGGCAGCGACGCCTTCAATTATTTATGGCTGGGCCTTCTTATTCCGAAGAAGGACCAGCCATAAGCATTGTCTTTTCGTGCCTTCGAAATATGATAATACATTCTTAATAGTGTGTACCACAGACAGTCAACGGAGAGCCCGTAACTGCGAGAGCGAAGCATCTCCGGTTCCTGTCATGAGATTACTGCTCACGACGTTTGCAGTCCTGCACAAACTGATCAATGAGTGCGTTGCAACGGCGGATCGTGTCGGGACTTTAGATGGGGCATGTTCGTATGCGTGTCCAGCACGAGCGTAAGACTTGATCCGGATGTAAAGACGACTTGAGTTCAAGCCATGCTCTGCCAATCACCTCGGTTGAGCTATTGGGCAAAATCTTGATACGAGTCGAAGAGTGCTCTTTCCGTACAATATGCTTTGGTTCAAATGGGAAGGGTTAAATTTGCACCCATAAATGTATGTTATCAAATGTTTCTAGAACAGAGAGACGTTCTGTCATGCACCTGAAGCATCAATGTGTGTAAAAATGTCATTATATACAGCCTCACCATGCTCCACAGAATATGGAGGGTGAGTTGATCCTGCGGCCACAATGATCAAAGACTGTTAGAACCCTGTCTACTGAAATTTTTTGGGAGCCATTTCAGTCCTCCCGAGACCTCTTGCGTTTCTTAATTTGATCTTATCTTTCAAGCAGCGATTGCTTCTTGGGTACTGTTCGCGTCCTGAATACTCTTTACGGGTGTTTCCTTTGCCTCCTGTAAACCCTTAAGCTCCGGAAGGTCCTGTGGTTCCTCAACCCTCGGTACTGGCGCTAAGTTCTGGACTTCTCTCGTGTACAGAATGTCGTAGTGACCCGGGCGGTAGAGAAGGACCACCGGTGGCATCTCCACAGTGGGACAGTCAGGCGGAAGGAAGTCGTGATGGTTGACGTCTGTATTCTTACCATCAGCTCCCACGCTTCGATCGAGATACACGACTCGAACCGGGACACCCAATGCGTCTGACAGTGCCGTGATGTGGACATGATCGCTTTCCTCCCCCATCGGCTCCACGGAAGTTTTGCAGAACTGGACAACGCATAGCAGGACGATCGGTTTAAAGGGGCTTCTCAGACGTTCACTTCTCAACCTAGAGATGAAATAAACGACAAAAGATATTAAATATTAAAAATACTATAAAACAACGAGTGACGAGGATCCATTCTCAGTGGCTGAGAACAAGTCTGGCTCCGACGTACCTGTTGGACGTTCATGTTGCTAAGACCTAAAATAAAGGGCTCAAAAAACTCAGCTCTCTTCCGAATCTCCGCTGACGTCACAAATCTGAAGAACATGACGACTGGAGAAGCAAACATGTCGATATCATACTTCCGAAACTTAGCGAAAATATTTGGCAACACCTACTCATGAATGACGCACTGACTTCCAAGACTCGGGAGCTTAGTGAGTTAACACTTCAGAGATATTTAAAGTAGGCCTTCACTCAAGTTATTCGTCTCTATCCTGAAAGTACTGCGAAAATATTTGCGCGATCTCTCTAAGAACTTTCTAAGTCATAGCTACGGCTGCGTACAGAGTTGAACAAGATATACAGTAGTAGTAGTAGATGTGTACCATAATCGGAGATGTAACGATCTCGGCATTTCTCCACGAGTTGGTCAATACTGCAGACACAAAGAGTCACTTCAGTTCTTCCCTTCCGAAACCATGGTTCCATAAACAACCTTTGGCATCACTTGAATATTATGTGGGAACTCGATCATTTCAAAAAGCGTTGAACCAGAAGCAGGTTCGTGAAAAAGTTTCAAAAGAAACTGCTGAAGGAAAGTGGTGAGTATGAACTGCTATAGATCAAAAAATGCTAGCTATGTAACATGAACTAAACGACAAGCCTCCGTTCCAATCACCAATAGAGCGAATTCACGTGCTAGAATCTTCTGACAGCAACTTACTCAACTGAAGATTCTCGGCCTGGAAGTACACTGTCCAACTGCTCCACGAAAATCTGAAAGAATGAACCAGACACAGCGAAAGTGGAGTTTGTGGTTAAAAGGGTGATCCTTTACCTACTCTAACGGAGAAAATATAGAACTTACAAAGTAGGACTTCTAACAGTAGGACAAATGTTGAAATCCCCTTGTCAGCTCAAGTCTTCCGGCATGAAATACATGAGAGTTGACTTGTGACAAGAACGCCACGACCGTCACAAGCTTGCCTTTTTTTACTAACTTTCTGACAACTGCGTGATTCTTACATCGACTTACCAGATGAAAAGCTTCAAAATTACGAGTGTACAAAACGTAAAACTGGGTATAGAGTTTACGGCCGGTCAGCCCGGAATCTTCTATGAGGGGTGGGTTATGAAAGATCTAAATTCACTGGAAATACGTACTACTCACACCTGGGATTTCAGTTGCTTACGTGCTATTGGGCCAAACCCAAGAGATTGGTGCGACAGTTTGTTATTAAACAGTGCAGTTCAAGCAAGTGATCACCTCACTCGAAAAGATCGGCAACGTGTTTTCAATGCGAGATTATAGGTCAATCTTGCAAGAAAGAAAATTGAGCTGCAGCTGAGGATACGACTGAGCAAGATTCATAAAACTGAAAGTGACCAGTGTTATGCGGCGTGAAGAGTACCTCCCAACAAACTTACTGAAAAGTTCTAATGTAACTTCATTCCTAATTGACATATATTATGGTGGGCTAAACTGACCAACATGTTTGTAATCACGAATCAACAAACGAAGTGAGCTCACCGACAGAAAATCTTCAAAAGTGAATTCCTGATATCCAAGCTCAATTAGTGCTTTCTTGCTCTGTTCGATATTTTTCTGTATTCGTTTCACTTCCGTTTCGTCTCTGGTCTCCAAAATATGCTCCTGGGAAACCGTTCAAGTCAATCTTACAGTGACGCCGTCTATGTAATCCATAATGTCGAAATGAATGAAGTGATGTGAAACGAACGAAGCGCGACCATGTGAAATCAGATACCCCAAAAAGAAATGTCATAGCAAGAGGCAATATCATTTAACTTACCAAGTATGAGAACATAAAACTTCGGAAAAAACAGTTGCCGTCACCGCGAGCACGTCTTATGGCCACATAGGTTTGACCTAATTTCTGCGCTGACGAACTCTTATTCAGAAATCTGAACTCTTCACCAAATGAAGGCTAATCATGACCAGTCACCACAGGTTTCTCTCCGAGAGACAGCATGAAGAATATGAAAGAGAAGACGGTGATACGACAACCTAGTTTGACGAGAGCGCACTTCTAGGAACACACGGAAGAATTTCTCATAAGAGAGACAAACGTGCAGAACCAAGAAAGAAACTCCAAATTCTGTATAACTAGCCAAATCAGCTTTGACACCAAAATGTGTAAGTATCTTGAAATAGCACCAGGTCTCAAAGATCCCACTGTCATTAGAACGACGTAGAAGAAAGAATGTAATTTAAAGAAAAGAGAAAGAAAAAGTAGTTCGATCTTTCACAGCATGGGCGAGAACGAAGCCCCACCTCAACCTTTGCCCTGAAAACAGGGTTACCGGCCTCATACTCCGCAGCAAGTACTGATAAAGGTTCCTGCACTGACAGAATTTATCAATCAAAAAACCTTTCCCGTAACCTTGCTTCAGTGGGGATCCTAGAACTAGTATTAGCAATTGACTGCTTCTGCACGACAGAAAAGTAAGATACGAGTTGCAGGGCAATTGCGGTTTATCCATGAGTAAAAGGCAAGACCAAGCAAAAGAGTCTAATTCTCAAGAATCATTATCTCGATCGTATATACACGTCAGTACACATTCGAAACAAAAAAGAGAACAAAGAATACCGAAAGGGGACAAATGAAGTTGTGAAAATATGTGCCAGTAATTATAATAGGCCTATCCGTCCCTGACAGTCTATGTACTCACTTTCCACTTCTAAAAAAACACTTCTCAACCTGGCAACTTTTTTACATATCTCCAATCAAATCAAAGACCAGCGGAACAATCTTCCACATTTCTGGCGTCCAATCGCGTGCCAGCGTGCAATCTTACATCCATTGGCGCTAAGCCAATACTTTCATGCTCTGGAACTCGAAGATACTACATCTGAGACAAAGGGATGCAACGGAAACTATTGAGACAAACGAGAGCTGAGCAATTGGTGAACGATGTAGCCAGTTGGAAGCAGACAATCCATCCTTACAATCTTCAGACTTAACTCACGCCATATCAAACCCTACAACGGGTATAATGATGGTCAATAACAAGAAATCTTGGAATAATCCTCCAGCACTGATTATGATTGATTTCCAAGAGCAGGCAAAATTAGTTTGTGCATAGCCAGTGGCAATGTGTCGCAGGATTCAGAATCATATTTTCCAAATATGTGCATCACGATCTTGAGATTCGAGTTTTAACCCAACTAACGAAGCATACAGGCAGAGTGCCTGCATTGCCACCTGTTCCTACTGGTATCGAGATCAGAAGCTGCATGCATTCCATGTCTCGCGCAAGGAGGAGTTGCTGCACACATTAGCCTCGAGTGGTTGCGAAGAAGAATAAGTTTCCTTGCGTGACGACTAAGAGCCTACGTCAAAAAAGACACTAACGATGCTGAAGAATTGAAGTGAACCTCAATTGCCGGTAAAATGTGGGTGCAGTTATCGACGATTAAGCCGGCAGAGGAGCACGCAGGTGTCGTACGGAACCTAAACATACAATGGCAGAAGCGACTTTTCCATCCAAGTTTACACGAGTTGAGCGAGAATGCACCCACCTTGTCTCCTACAAATTCCAACTTTTCGGCGTCAGCAGCCCGAATGGCGTGGTGGAATGCCAGAATTTCGTCATCCCGGGGACGATCCTCCTCGCTCGCCCCTCCACCGTCCGAGTTCATAATTCAATTCGGCCTCGACTCCTCTGACTCAATGAACGAGCGCCGAGCCAAGCCAAGCAAGCACATATGCAGAGCAGAGGGAGCACTCTGGCCACGTGAAAAAAGCAGAGTCCAAATAAAACGCCGTGAGACGTAAAGAAGTGAGATTAATTGCCGCTGCAGATTTGGTTTGGACTCATGTCAGACGACACTCGGACATGATGCAGACAGAACAAGAGCACGTAATGTACAGGCGCTGCACTGCAGGACAGACAGACGGACGACTACGGAACCGAGCCAAAAGCACAAGACCACGTGATGGACCGAGAACGAGAAAAAGAGAGCGCGCGCGCGAGCCTTCGTACTTGCAAAGCGCCTCCTGCCCTTGCGCTCTTCGATCGAAGAAAACCCACGCACGAGTTTCACCAAACTGACACCCCCACACTCCCCCACACCCTCACTCTCACTCCCACGCTCATGTGCCGAAATGGGCCAAATTTCGTACGAATGACAGACAAGAAACCTCGCCAATCCTGCGCCTTGCCGGGTCCCGCCTCGTCCAGACTTCTTGACCCGACGTGCCTTCTTCGAGTTCCGGTTTATTCCTCCCTCCCTCCCTCCCTCCCATGACAACATCAAACCGCCCTGGCAAGTCAACTCCCCGCATTAAAATCCTCAAATTATATCAACAATTTAAATGCATGTGGCCCTTTTTCCAGCGTCTTATCTGCCAACCCGGTAGCGTCGTACGCCCTAATCTTGAAATACGAATTTGATTTCTTGCATTTTGGTGGTAGTGGGGGTTCTTTTTATTTCTGAGAGAGGCTGAAAAGTGCGCGGACGCTACTGTAACGTAGTAGTACTAACTCACTCGCTCGCTCGCTGTACCGTTCTGGAATTTAGGAAGCGAGGATTCGAACCATGTACGATGTTCCCTGCTTCCTTCCTTCGCGAGCTCCGAGGTTGGATTACGTTCGTTCCGCGTGCCCGATGTCGTCATCATGGCACACAGTTCCGTCGTCCTACTGTAGCGCTGCCGCTGTTTTTTCGTACGCAGTTGGGTGAATGTCACGCCAAGTTTAGGCCTCCTTCCGAGGATGGAACCTGGTTTCCTTTTGTATCTCCGCCGACGAGGACATGTGGATGCGATGCCTCTTGCATGATTGAGACCTGAATTGCGATCCGATTATCTATCTGGACCCAAAAGGGAATGATAGTGCTAAGCAATAAGGACAAGCCAGTTCCATGGCTCGAGCTAGGACGTGAAGATGTAATCCACCTGTGACACATCGATATGAATTTCCCCCTCGAGGAATATGGCTCGATATTGAAATTCTCCTGGAAAACGATGGCACTTAGTTTTCACGCGATAGATAGACATGAACTTTTGGGCTCATTATCGCCCATGCCGATCTCGCTTGATGATTCTATTCACATAGAACTTAGTGGTATAGTTTCTTACGTTCTTCACCTTTATGTAATTTATATGGTTGCATACATCCTCATGTCTAGATCTTCTAATTGACAAATCTTATCCTTTTTATTAGTAGTGGGAACATATCATGTGTTTTTTCAAATTTTATTTTAGTCATATCTTGTTAATATCACGTATGTATGTATGTATATATCACTTATGAGATGAGGTGACATATGTCAACTACGAAGCATTGTCAAGAAAGCAGAAATCCTGCGTTGGAACACACCAAAGCTCACACACAACTTAAATCATTTGTATGCAGTTATTTTAGAATTTACAACACATGAATAACAAATAATACGAAAATTTATTTTTGTGATATATTTGAAATATTTTTTGATTTAAAATTTTCATTTAAATAAATAATCATTTATCGAATTATTGAATTTAGTGGGAAAATGTATTTATTCAACATTGAAATCATGTCTAAAAATCATTTTTCATCTGAATAAATTTTAGAATATATTATTCTTAAAGTGAAATATTATTTAATGAGATAAATATACTACACATTTGAAATATTTGATTTCATATATATACACTCATATGCCGATTATGAGGTGAGGTGACATGTGTCAACTTGGAAACATTTTCAAGAAAGCACAACTTCTCCGTTCGACACGCCAAATCTTACACACAACTTAAATATTTTTTAAAAGTTATTTTGGAATGTACAACAATAAAAAAGATTTTTTTTTAGCCCAAAATATGCATATTCACACAATGAATAAATTATATGAATATGGATTTAAATTGTAACTCAGTTTTAGATATGATTTCAATAGTACCAAGGTTGTATTTCATTCAATACATGTCTTCTAAACTCAATATCATTTTAACAAATAAAAGTTTTTAACACATATATTTTATCAATAAACGGGTTCAAATTGTGTTATTTTAATTTTTTGATATATTAAAGAATGTTAATACATTCATAAGATTTAATCAGTAAATTATTTTAAATTTTAAATTTTAGTCTTAAATTTTTAATGAAAGTTACTTGAAAATTAGAACATTTGATCAAATTTGTAAAATAATTATGAATAATTGATTTATAAGTGTTAGTTATTGAAAACAATGATGTAACTAACATAATATATGAATGAAAATTCATAATATGAAAAAATCAATTTTTTTTATTTTTATATAATCAATATGAATATATTTATATATATTCAAATACAGGATTACATATTTATTTTATAAATGCATTTGATATCTTGAATGTAGTATTGGATATATGAATCAAAATAAAAATTGAAGGTTCTTGTAAATCAAAAAAAATTGCTATTTGAGAATTCCATCAATTATTATCTTCAAAAATAGTTTAGAAAATTAAATTATGATAATCTTTCAAATTTTGAATAAGATTTTGTAATAAAATTATAGTTATTTGAAATGATTTTTTTTCACTAGTTCAAAAACGTAGTATTTAATCAATCTTCCACAATGAAATCTACATGCTTTCATATAGCAAGCAATATATTTTGCTTTTGAATTTTGATGATATTCTTCTTGAAAATGTTAAAAAAAATTCAAGAATAATGAAAATTATTATTTTTAAATATTATTTTTAAATAAAATTTTCAATTGATGTGTAATTTTATATAACCAAACATTTTTAAATAGTTATATATGTCGAAACACAAAAACTTGTTTATCTTCTGATGGAGAAGAAAACAAGCCTATATTTATCATATCCGTGTGACTTCAAGTATCGTTCCGAGGACTTGTTAGTGTAAGGTGAAAAACTGCTCATAATCATATTGTCAAACTCTATTTACTTCTTTCTTTAAGATGACAAAAACCCCAACGTAGATCGATTAGAGATCACTTCACAACTAACGTAGAATATTTTGGCTAGCAGGTCACACAAGTGAGCACTTTCAGATGCATGAGGCTACAACGACAAACCAATCCGGTCCATGAGAGCTAGGTTTTGGCGATCCCTGGACTACAAGTTCTTCTGAATCTGCTCTGTCTCACTATAGACAAAAATTCTTCACAAGTTCAGGTGAGCCAAACCTGAGTATCCCTCAATCGGCTCTAACCTTACAGACGGTGTTTCCTTGTGAGTATTAGAGAACCAAAAAATGACACTTCAACTTCCACGACACACCAACAAATCCACTGCTCAATCTCGGAGTCTAGATCGATCCGGGTCTTGCCTTACAGCTTCCATCACCTTCAAATCTGGTCTGCCACGTAGTCTCACTTCTCTCAGATCGACAACACTCAGAAAGGAAGCTAGAGGTACAGCAGCGTAGAAAAACACGACACTATAAATTGATAAGGAATCTAGGCAGAAAACATGTAAGAACGAAGACCTGGCAGTATCCGCAAGCTCCACTTAAATAAGCAGAAACCACACAGAAGCGACGGCGGCGAAAGCCCACTAAAACCTTTACCTGTACCACCTACTTGATTGTCGGCTTCGGCTCCATTTTCTTATCCTTGTCGCTAACTTCGTGGCTGACTTCTCTCGGTTGACTTTTTGAGATCGAAGAGGTGACAGATCCTTAACATTTTTAACCACTACTGATCCGGTTTTGTTTAATTGATTAAGCGGATCATTTCTAGCATACTTTTAACTCCTTAACTAAAAAAATGAAAACTACTAGAACTCTTGGTTTCGGTTTTAGGCTAATCTAGAAATTTTAGTCTTTGGAGATTCTCACAATATATTCAATAGACCTACAATCATACGTATAGTATGGATGTGTATAAGTTTGGAAATATTTAGATAAAAAAATTGTTGTTGATTTCATATAGATTTTTTACCTAAAAAAAATAATCCTATCATAAATCAAGTAACCAGTTTCATATATTCAAAATTTAATTGTATTTTAGCAATGATGTGAATAGTATAGATGAGTTTGTAATAAAATTGCAAAACTTTGCACTTTTTTTGAACGTTTAAAACGTCTTAAGTATATTTTTTTACTTTTTATCATCTTACGCTGCAAATAGAAATGTGCAAAATCAAATTGCAACATTTTGCGCGTTTTAAAACTTTTAAAACATCTTCAATATGATTTTTGTTATATTATCATTTTTATCATCTTACGCCATCATGTTGTCCGTATACAGATGGATCAGCCGTTTATGATCTAGAAATGCATCTCATTTGAGTCATTTGACAAACACATACTCCTAGTTGAGTGATGTATGGCTCAGCAGGTCTTAGGAAAGAATTTCACTAAGATAATTTTGACAAACTTTTGGCTGATCCCAAGTTTAAGGTTGCTAGGGTGAAATGCAAATCCTACAACTCTACTATTTTTTCAAATATGAAAACTCATCTCGCCAACTATGATCACTATATGGAAATAGTTTTCAACCAGCAATTGACGCGTCTCGGTTTCACCTCACTAACTGCGTCATTGCCCCAAGCGCAAAGATGCTCTATGTTGTTGTTAGTATTATAGGAAGATCTGCTCCTTTCGCCTTATTGCAAATAAAATCCACAAACACCAACATCTCTACATCTTCATCGTCAATGTATTTTCAATCTCAAGAGGAATCTGAGTAGGTAATTAGATCAGTGATTGCTCAAAGCATGGCATGGTCCAAAATCACTTCGAGGAAGAGCAAATTCATTGTTGATCGAATCAACGCAAAGATTTTTCCTATATAACTTAGATGAGAAGCTAACAAAGAAGCAAATTGTTGATTCTTAATTCATCTTTGTCATACATCAAACTCTTATGAACTTCCATATGTTCAATCATTTAGTCTAACAAACATTTTTCAAGGTGTTGTTTTCAACTTGACCACTCCATCATCCAAGCAAACAATTGCTTTCAGACTGATCTCATTACAACAAATGCATATGGGTAAATAATTGCTTTACAGTTGCGGCAGTCATAATTGGCATGAATGTTGTGTCAAATGTGTTGTCTTGGAGCATGTCTAACAATATTGCCCATGATCCACGTTTATGGTTTGTGGAATATTTAAGAACACACATCAAGGTTGTGTCAGCCATTAAACTTTGCATGAAAATCAAATTGATGTTAGATCGTCTGGCTGTATTTATTGGAAAGCATATGATGAATGACTTTATTTTTTATAATTATAAGATGATGTGAGCTCTTTGTAATCAATCGATGTAC